TTTTTTTTTTTTTTAAAAAAGCTCCCTCCAGATGCACACTATTAATTATACAACCATGATGAGTAAACTGACCTTTCATGTGTAAAATCGCAAGTGGTCCTTTTAAGCAGTACTCAAAGAAACAGGAATTCTCAATCACAGGCTATCAAGGGCATATGTAAATAGTTTGACACGAAATAAGAGCCCAGCAAGAGTATGAACAATTGCAATGCTACTCCACGTGTGTAAATGTAGATTTGTCCGTAAAGCAGACAATGAAGTGCAAAGCCGTCCTTAACCAATGCTGCCAAGAGACGCTATTACATTGTGTATAATACCCCTCCTAATACTGTTAGGCATTTTAACAGCATGGATGCTTTTGTGCAATATTTAAGATTGATTTGGCAGGATCTGAGCCCTTGTGTGTTTTTCATAATAAAGTATGTTTGAGTATAAGAAGTGCTTGTTTTTGCTTTCATTGAGTTGATCTGATTCAGAAGGTTCTGTTAGGCACCAACAGGAAATATTTCAATTAGTATGCAGCCAGTAATATGCTGCCTTCCAGCCTTGGGTTGTCCAGCGGTGTCAAAAATTAGCAAGTTGAGAGAAAAAAGGACTTCTTTCCATTCTGTGTGATCTATATAGAGCATTTTTGTTTGATATATATGTCAATGCATAATTGAGGAGAAAATGATGAATTAGGACACTGAAATCGGGGATAGAGTCTAATTAGTTCTGAGAGGATATCTAAATCACAGTCATCTGAGAAGTGTCACTCCCCCCAAATGTCCAGCGGCTCTGTTGACATCTCAGCGTGGGCCAAGATGAAACAGAACTGAGAGAAATCAGCAGGAATTTTTTTTGCTTTCCATTCAAGCACATCTATTTTTAGACTTCCAAGAAGTCTGTCATCTAACAAATTCTCTTTAAATCTTGGCTGCATATGCCTCTTTTTGTTCAGTACTTTCTCTTGATCTACTCTTGAATTATCAAAGGCATTTGTGGACCAACATTTATTGATGTAGCACACTAACAGAGAACCATAACAATAACCTTTTCCTCCGAAGCGTTCCAGGTCATTTCTAGATTTGGCCACAAGGTGGGACAGTGAATCACATTTCTGTCACTGACATTGCAGGGAAGGGATTTTCTTTCCTAACCAGTGAGGTCCAGAATCATGAAGATAATCAGTTTGTGAGACAATGACAATGTTGTGAGAATATTTATAGTTTGGACAGCAATCTATAAGAAAACGAACTTTTAAAAAGGACGCACCTGTTAGAGTTTGTGGGAGAAATACTAAAGTCTAGAGGTAACAAATATCGTTAAAACATGAACATAAAGTAAATATAATGCATGTAATACGAGTCATTGAAAGTTTATTGTCTCCAAGCTGAGGTGAAAGTCCTCTTGATGATTAAGAAAGTCATGTAGTCTCGTGGAGGTGGCCAATAATTAACATGATATGCAAGATGAATGTCAGCAGAATGGGAGTGGAGAAGACGTGTGGGGTTATGTGTGGTTGGACATTTTAAACTATTGCTTGTTTCGAATGATAGTTAGATTGTTTTCCTCTTAGAATAACCAAACATTTAGGGACATTAGAAAAGAGTTACATTTGGAGGGAGTCTTGCTTTAACAGAGTTTAAAGGCAAATTTTCTAATTCAAATGTGAACAAAAAAACAAAAATCAAAACACAACTATTAGTCTGGAACTGACTGATAGGTCTTAATATAATAATGACTAGAAAAAAACTGTCACACAATTGTTTACTGTATATCAATATGACTGTATATACTGTATATAAAAGGTAAACACTGGAGGCTTATACCGTCCAAAATGGTTTAGAGACACACAGGATGCTGATTTTGAACATACATTACTTCAATTATGTACAGCACGTCAAATTCACAGAAGGGGTCTTTTAAAATGACTTCATTTGTTAGATTTCAGCAGATATTTATTTTCAAAACTCTAATTTAAAAGACCAAAGTGTGATTCATGCTCATGAATATGCAACAAAACATAATTTATTCGAGATACAAAAGCCAATTGCTGTGAATAGAAGCTTCCATCTGAAT